CCTGCCTTTTGGCCGCTCTGTGCGCCTGTGCATCGAGAAGAGGCTCCTCCTCTTCGTCCTCTTCACTTAAGGGAGCTTCTGGAGGTTCTGAAGGCCCTGGCTGAATCCCTGCCTCTGGCACCACATCTTCTCCAGCCTCCTCACTGTCCAACTCGAGCGCCAGTTGCACAGGCCGCTGGCGCAGCACCACACCAGCCTCCTTGTCATCGGAATCAGCTACACTCCGCGCAGGCCGCTGGCGGGCCACAACAATAAGTGATGAGATTCAATCCACTCTTACAAAGAACTACAAGACAAAATTCAGATGTTAGCAAATACAAAAAGGAATAAAAGGTCCCCTTCACAATTGAGAAGAGGATTAGGTCTCAAGCAGGAGACCTGATAGCATTTCTGACAAGTGGCTGTCCAGTCTCTTCTTGAAAGCCTCCAGTGATGGAGCAACCACAACTTCTGAAGGCAACTTCTGTTCCATGGGTTGATTGTTGATTGACACGTTAACTGTCTTCCAGTACTTGAGGGGCTGACACAGAGAAGAAAGGATTGACTTACTGTCCAAAGCACCAGAGGGCACGACAAGAAGTAATGGGTGGAGGGATCATCAGAGGGAGATCCACTCTGGAAATAAGGAGATATTTCTTGTCAGTGAGAACACTTAATCAGTGGAATGACTTACCTCCAAAAGTTGGGGGTGCTCCATCGTTGGAGGTTTTCAAGAAGAGATTGTCTGGAATGGCATAGGGCAGGGGTCACCAACCTTTCGGACCTCAGAGACCACTAAATTCATAATTTTAAATCCCGCGGACCATTAATATGATCTGCCTAATGACCGGCTGAGTGGGTGTAGCTAGGTGGTCATGTGACTGGGTGGGTGTTAGGATATGGTTTGAGCCTAACTAGTTGTCCAGGCAATATATGTGTACTGTAACTTTAATCTGTAAATGTATTATGTGACTTTAAGGTTTCCTTGCTGATTTATTGTAATGCTGAGTCATGCTGTAATTAGGTAATGACTGGTTGTGAGAGTATTTAAGCAAGGTATTGTAACGTGTTCAGTTGCTGCTATGATATGCTGCCATTGTGTATGAAGCTGATGTGATATGCTACCATTGTGTGTGGAGTTGCTATTCATTGTGCTATCATCGTTTGATAGATCTGCTACCATCGTGGTTTGTGAACCAGAGTGAGTTTGTTATTCTAACCAACTAATGTTTGTTTGGTGAGAAGGTATCTGTAACTACTGGACTGATTTAACTGGCGAAGACTTGGAATTTGTTTAAAGACTATGAGACTGTTTTTCTACTATAAAGTAAGCTTTTGATAAACCAGTTTGCATATCTCTTATTCATTGCTCTCAGCAATGTTTCCTTGTGCATTTACTCTGCTGGTTGGTAACACAACACCAATATCCTTAACAGTGGGCATGGCCAACTCATTGCTTCCCCATCTGGGCTCCTTAGGGCCCCAACAGAAAGCAGTTGTTGGAGCTAAGCAGCCACCACGAGAAAGAGTTGGCAAAACAGCTCAGTTCAAATTGGATCTGACCAGGAAGGAGGCTCAGCAGAAGCACCTCGCTGAGGACTATGAGCATAGGTTTTCCAAGTAGAGGGAAGACCTGCGGGAGTGCAAGGTCAGGGACCAGTGCCTGGAGCCTTAGCAGGCTGAGATGGTCAGCCAGTTCCAGACCATGAGGCAGTCCCACTGGAACAAGGCCCTTCGGCTCTTTGCCACCAGCAATGCTTCCCTCCAGCCTTCACCCAAAGCCCTGCACCAGGAGGCCGAAGCAGACCCCAAGTTGGAATTTCTGTCCCCCTCCGACCCACACAAAAAGACCCCAGAAGGGGGAGACTCTTTGCAGCAACACAAATGTTCATTAAACATATCCATCCCAGGGCCCGTAGTTTGAGGATTTAGTGCAATATTAAAAATGCAAATAATTTTTCTGTGAACCACCAAAACTTTCCCGTGGACCACCAGTGGTCCACAAACCACCAGTTGGTGACCGTTGGTATAGAGTCTCCTGTTTGAGCAGCGGGATTGGACAAGAAGATTTCCAAAGTCCCTTCCAATCTTATTAGCCTTGGTAGTACAGTGGTCTAAAGCACCCTGTTATTAACACAGCTGCCTGCAATTACTGCAGGTTCGAATCTCACCAGGCTCAAGGTTGACTCAGCCTTCCATCCTTTCTAAGGTAGGTGAAATGAGGACCCAGTTGTGGGGGCAATAAGCTGACTTTGTATAAATATACAATAAGGATGAAGGCTATTGCTTAACACATTGTAAGCCGCCCTGAGTCCCCGGAAAAGGGCGGCATATAAATCAATTTTTTTAAAAAAAATTATTCTATATTCTATGTCCCTTTCAACATTCGTTGTTTTCTTTCACCCGTATTAACACATGTGCTCCGCAGCTTTGTTTTAAATAAAAAACTATGCTATTGGTTAGTTCTGGTATGTAAAATACAGTGTTGCATTTTATAAAACCAAAGGTAAGAACTGTATTGGTAGGATCCTTAAAAATGCATTCAGTGGGTCTCCACTTATCAGAAATGTGAGAGCTGAACTGGCTGACAAACCATACTCAACAAGTAGTCCTTAATGGGTCTACATCTACATGGAGGGAAGTAAGCAATGGGGTACCACAAGGTTCCATCTTAGGCCCAGGACTCTTCAATGTCTTCATAAACGACTTAGATGAGGGAATAGAAGGGGAACTTACCAAATTTGTAGATGATACTAAACTGGCAGGAATAGCTAACACCCTAGAAGATACGCTCAAGATCCAGATGGATCCTGGCAGATTTGAACACTGGGCCCTATCTAACAAAATGAAATTCAATGTTGAGAAAAGTAAAGTCTTACACTTTGGCAAGAAAAACGAAAAGTACACATATAGACTGGGTGAAACCAGGCTCCATAGCAGTCACTGTGAGAAGGATCTTGGAGTCTTAGTGGACAACCAATTAAACGTGAGTCAACAGTGTGCAGTGGCAGCCAAAAAAGCCAATGCAATCCTAAATTGCATTAACAGAGGGATACAATCAAGATCAAGTGAGGTACTAATACCACTCTATAAAGCCTTAGTAAGACCACACCTAGAATCCTGCATCCAGTTTTAGTCACCACACTATAAAAAAGATGTTGAGACTCTAAAAAGAGTGCAGAGAAGAGCAACCAGGATGATTAGGGGACTGGAGGCTAAAACATACGATGAACGGTTGCAGAAACTGGGCATGGCTAGTCTAGTGAAGAGAAGGACCAGGGGAGACATGATAGCAGTCTTCCAATATTTGAGGGGCTGCCACAGAGAGGAAGAAGTCAAGCTATTTTCCGAAGCACTAGAAAGCCAGACAAGGAATAATGGATGGAAACTGATCAAGGAGAGAAGCAACCTAGAACTAAGAAGAAATTTCCTGACAGTTAGAACAATTAACCAGTGGAACAACTTGCCTCTGGAAGTTATGTATTCTCCAATACTGGATGTTTTGAAGAAGAGATTGGACAACTATTCGTCTGAAATGGTATAGGGTTTCCTGCTTAAGCAGGGGGTTGGACTAGAAGACCTCCAAGGTCCCTTCCAACTGTGATATTCTATTCTATTCTATTCTATTCTATTCTATTCTATTCTATTCTACCCTGGGCGGAAAGGAGCAAGGGCTGGCAATGTGACTTCAGCTGCTGCCATGCCTCTGGAAATGCCTACCAGTGACTTCAGCTGCTAAGTGACTTGGCTCTTGAAGTTGGCTTCGCGCCACGAGGTTCGTTGCTTGGTTCTAGTCCTTCGTCGCCAGTGTTAGATCGGCGCAGGGAAAGCAAGACGCGACCAGCTCTGGTCCAATTCAGCACTTTATTCAAACACAAGAAAAAGACGAGCGGCTGTGCTGCCGGGGCTCTTTAAATACGCTCCGGCAGACTCAGCCGCCCAATGACAGATCTTGATTTTCCCGCCGGTGGATTAGCCAATCACCGGCGGGTGTCCTTATAAGGACATAACACTCTCTTTGCAAAGCATTTTGCCCTGGACCTCGTGCAGGCCCTGGTTAGCAGAGAACATAGGCCTAAAGCACTGTAGTGCGAGATCACGTGAGATCAATAGTGTTAGATTTCCCACTACTGATCTTGTGTATCTCTCAATATTTTAGGCCTTTTTTCTGCAAATGCACTAAAGTAGGCAAAGAAACCTTTGCCACATCGTCGCAAGGTACCGTATTTTTCGGACCATAAGACCGAAGCAAAGGTTTAGAGAAGCAAAACAAGAAAAATAAAGTCTGTGAGCGTCCCGTTTTTGCCCTCTCCAGCTTCCAGAAACAGTCTGCATGCCAAAAACGGGCTCATTTTTGGCCTCCCAAACCCTCTGCATGTCCCGTTTTAAGCCTCCAGGGAAGCCTCTGGGGAGACCAAAAACGGCGCCTGCAGACGCCTCCGGAGGCCAAAAGCAGGTCCGTTTTTGGTCTGCAGAGTTCTTCTGGACGCCAGGGAGGACAAAAAGGGGACGTGTGGAGGGTTTGGGAGGCCAAAACCAGCCCCCTATACGCTCTATAAGACGCACAGATATTTCCACCCCCTTTTTGGGTGGGGAAAGTGTGAGTCCCAGCAGGGTGGGGTGGGGGAATAGGTAGGAAAGTTGCAGCGCCTTTGCTGTCATGCGTTAAGTGTGAACCTATAACCTGTACCCTAGGATGCTTGAATTGGATTGGGAGAATGCTCTGCCATGGGCTAAGTGTGAAAGTTCTGTTCTCACACAATTTGGGGAGGTTTCAGAGGACAAATGACAACACACTCCTCTCACATGACCTCCAGAGGACACATAAAAGCACACCTCGTTCTTCTCAGCCCCCACAGGTAAGTTAAAATAGAAATGGAAAAATACAGATAAGAAATGACACAGAAAGACCTAAGCAAAGAGACATTCTTTCCTTCCTTGGAGCACGAGAGGATCCTTTCCTTCTCCCTCCCAGGAGACAATATCTGATTAGTGGTTTTTTAATAAAAAAGCTAACTATAATCCACATTCTTGAACTCTCTGATTGGGGACTAGAGAACTCTTACCCAGAGAGGCCACGTTCCTATGGTTTTCAAGCATGACTTCCGAATGCAGCACTTTCTGATCAGGATCCAGCTGAGACCATTCCTCCTCAGAGAACGACACAGCCACCTCCTCGAAGGACACAAGACTCCCCTGAACATGGAAAAAAGAACAGAACAGGAGGATTCGCAAAATCTGTTGATCTTTTTTTTTTTTTTTTTTTAAATTTATTCAGTATTTACAACTTTGTTACATTTTTACAGCTTTCTGATACCGGCATCTTTGGTAATATCTATTTTGTCTTTTGAACAACTATAAACACATACATTTTATGTATTACTTACTAATTCATATATTCACTACAATATATACATATCTATTACACATTAAATATTTCATTCCTCTATAATATCTTCTCTTACGTTTATACATTTATACATTGATTTTAGATTCTTTCTCCAGAAAGCTATACCATCTATTCCATGTTTCGTAATAAATCGTTTCCCCTCAGTCTTTTTTTTTTTTTAATTAAATTTATATACCGCCCTACTCCCGAAGGACTCAGGGCGGTGAACAGGCACAGAATAAAATACATAAATATAAAAGTTAAAAAACATAAATTAAAACAGAATTAAATAATTAAGCCCGAGACAATTAAAAATACCAATAATTTAAAACAAATTTAAATTTAAATTTAAATTTAAAAGAAAGGGGAGAAAATTAGGCCAGGCCGGCCTGCTGGAATAGGAGGGTCTTAAGAGCACGACGGAAAGGGCGCAGATCCGGGATCCTCCGTATCTCCGGGGGAGCTCGTTCCAGATAGTGGGTGCCCCCACAGAGAAGGCCCTCCCCTGGGGGCTGCCAGTCGACATTGTTTGGCTGATGGCACCTGGAGGAACCCCTCTCTATGAGAGCGTACCGGCTGGTGGGAGGCTCTTTGTGGTAGTAGGCGGTCCGTAGATAACCAGGTCCTAAGCCATGGAGTGCTCTAAAGGTGGTGACCAAAACCTTGAAGCGCACCCGGAAGACCACCGGGAGCCAGTGCAGCTCGCGCAGGTGTCACACGGGAGCGCCATGTTGCTCCCATAACCACCTGCGCAGCCGCACTCTGCGTCAGTTGGAGCCTCCGGGTGCTCCTCAAGGGGAGCCCCATGTAGAGAGCCTTGCAATAGTCCAGGCGGGAAGTGACCAGGGCATGAGTGACTGTGTGTAGGGAGTCCTGATCCAGAAAGGGGTGCAACTGGCGAATCAGGTGAACCTGATGAAAAATCCTCCCGGTCACGGCCGTCAAATGCTCTTCTAAAGACAGCCATGAATCCAGGAGGACGCCCAAGTTGCGAGCCCTCTCCTCACCAACTGACTATATCGGGACATCGGAAACCACAGCCACTCGGTCTTGGATGGGTTGTGCCTGAGCCTATTCCTCCCCATCCAGATCCGCACGCCTCCAGGCACTGCGACATCACTTCAAGGGCATCGTTGGGGTGATCCGGGATGGAGATGTACAGCTGGGTGTCATCAGCGTACAGGTGGTACTTCACCCCGAAATCACGGATGATCTCGCCCAGCGGCTTCACATAAATGTTGAACAGGAGGGGCGAGAGGACCGACCCTTATGGCACCCCACATAAGAGGGGCCTCGGGGTCGACTTCTGCCCCCCTGTCAACACAGACTGCGACCGGTCAGAGAGAAAGGAGAACCACCGCAACACAGTGCCTCCCACCCCTAACTCCCACCGGCCAGTCCGCTCCCACAGAGAGGGTCTCCTCAGGGTGCCATTGGCCAAAGTATGTCGGCTGGCGACACCCAGGGGGAGGGCCTTCTCTGTGGGAGCCCCTGCCCTTTGGAATGAACTGCCCCCAGAAATTCGTAAAATCTCTGATCTCTGTGTATTTCACTGTGCCCTCAAAACCTTGTTGTTCCGCCAGGCGGGGCTATCAATGTAAAGATTTTAATTGGTTTTAATTGGTTTTAAAAATGGGATTTTAAATTGGGGTTTTATAATTGAGCCTTTTATTTAATAATTTTAATTATTTTTTAAATTCTGTTTGTCTTGTGCTTTTAATCAGGCTGTACATCACCCTGAGTCCTTCGGGAGAAGGGCGGTATAGAAATAATAATAAAAAAAAACTCTTCCAACCGGTGCAGCATGATACCATGGTCGATGGTATCAAAAGCCGCTGAGAGGTCTAACAGGACCAGGACTGAGGAGCACCCCCTGTCCCGAGCCCCCCAGAGATCATCCACTAACGCGACCAATGCCGTTTCTGTGCTGTACCCCTGCCTGAAGCCCGACTGGTACGGGTCTAGATACGTCGTTTCATCCAGGTGCTGGGGGAGCTGTTGTGCAACTACACTCTCAACAACCTTCGCCACAAAACGAAGGTTGGAGACCGGACGATAATTAACCAACATTGCCAGGTCCAGGGAAGGCTTCTTGAGGAGAGGCCTCACCACCGCCTTTTTCAAGGCGGTGGGAAAGTCACCCTCACCCAACGAAGCATTTATAATCCCCTGGAGCCATGGGATATAATCCTCGTGTCACCTCCTGGGAAGCCAGCACTAACCAGGAGGGACACGGGTCCAATAAACAAGTGGTCGCGTTCAGTCTACCCAGAATCCTGTCCACGTCCTCAGGGGTCACAGGATCAAACTCATCCCAGATAACATTCTCAAGACCTGCCCCAGTCCCTCCCCTGAGACTACCCAGTCAGAGTCCAGATCTTCCCGAATCTGAGTGATTTTGTCACTCAACACTTGAACAAAATCCTCGGCTCTACCCTCCAAGGGGTCCTCCCACGCTTCCTGGTGAGCAGGGAGGGGATCACCCTAAACAGCGGCCAGGCGATTATTGATGACGCAATAAGAGCAGCCAAATAACTACATTTTGCTGCTTTTATCGCCACTAGGTAATTCCTAATATGAGATCTTACCAGTGTCCGGTCCGATTCAGAAAGACTGGCCCTCCAGGGTGTCTTTTCCGGCGCTTCAACTCCCTCAGCTCCTCAGTGAACCGAGGAGCGAAATGAGATTGGCGCCGGGTCAGAGGCCGCAAAGGTACAACCGGTCCAGAGCTCCAGTGGCCGCCCTATCCCAGGCGGCCACTAGGTCTCCAGTCAAGGCGTGTGCCAGAGCCTCAGGAAATGGCCCAAGCTACATCTGGAACCTGTCGGGTTCCATCAGGCGCCTGGGGCAGAACCATCTTACCGGCTCCGGCTCCCTGTGGCGGGGTGCAGCGGTTTGAAGGTCGAGACGAAGGAGAAAGTGATCAGACCATGACAAGGGCTCAGTGACTATATCCCCTATCTCAAGATCACTCAACCACTGTCCGGAGACAAAAACCAAATCCAGCGTGTTTTTGTCCAGAGACAAAAACCAAGTCCTCCCCTGTGACCTCGGCTGATGGAATGCATGGAAACCTGGTGGGCACATTTCAACGAGGGGGACCTCCCCCTTCTGGCCCAACCAAGTCTCTGTAATACCTGCCAGGTCCGCTCCCTGGATTGTCTTAATTGTTTTAACCTGTAAAAATGAAGTGTTTTTAATATTGTGTGTGACCAGCCATACGCTAAATAAAATGTTCCCCATAATTTTCCCCAATACTCTAATTCAATATTATACCCAAAATTTTTCGCCCAAATTATCATCGTTTCCTTTACCGTTTCTTCCTCCATTTTGAATTGAAGGAGACGTTTATATGTTTTGGTGATTATTTTCTCATCGATCCCGATTAATATTTTATCCATTTCTTGGTCCGTTTGGAATCCATATACTTCTATGTTTTTTGTATTTTGTTTGGATTTGTAAATAGGGCCACCAATCAATTTTAATTCCTTCTTCCAATAATTTTTGTCTAGATTTCAAATTCCCTACTCCATCTAACAATTCCTTATATGTTGCTATTTTATTAAAGTCAATTAAATTGGGGTAGACCAAGGCTTCCATTGTCGACACCCACCATGGGATTTTTGAATAAAAGTTCCTTTTAATTTTTAAATTAATCCACGTTTCTAGCAGTACTTCCCTCGCTTGATGCCTCTGGAAGTACTTATGGGCTGTGTCTTTTCCATCCCAGATGAAGGAATGCCAACCTTTCTGTAAGCCATGCCCCTCAATTGTTAAAATTCTTCCATTTTTTAGATTTATCCATTCTCTGAGCTATGACATTACTTGTGGTAAAGTTCCCAATCTGGAAGGATTGTATTCTTCTAAATTTCCCCTTGCCTGCGCCAGTATTTCTAATGAAAAGATGCATAAAAGGGGAGATAATGGACAGCCTTGTCTGACCCCTTTATTTATGTTGACTTTTTCTGTAAGATCTCCATTGACCATAATTTTTGCTGTCTGCTTTTAGTAAATTGCCTTAATTATTTCTATAAATTTTTCGCCAAATTTCATCCCGATTAATTAAAAACTGTTAATTCTAGTTGTCTTTTGTGCATCTACCATTATTACTGCCAATTCTTTTTCTGGATGGGCCTCATAATATTCTAAAATGTTCATAATAATCCTTGTATTGTTTTTAATTTGTCGATTGGTAGAAACCCATTTTGATCCGAATGAATAATTTTGTTTAATATCTTTTTTAATCTTTCTGCTATTATTGCCAGGATTTTGTAGTCGATATTTAACAGCAAGATTGTCCTATAATTTTGAATAAATTCAGTACTTTCTTTGGGGATTAATGTTATATATGCCTCCATCCACGAATTTGGCATTTTGGCTTTCTCTAATACCTCATTAGAAGGGGAGCTCATCAAATTTGCAGACAAGACCAAATTGACAGGAATACCAACACTCCAGAAGATAAGCTCCAGATATAGAAGGATCGACAGATTGGGCCCCATCTAACAAAATGAAATCAACTGAAAATTGCTTTCACTGAAAAAATATTTGGGGAAGTTTTATCAAGTTGATTGATTCTGCAAAGCCTTCAGTGCCTTTCAGCAAAGTAATCCTACTTCTGGATCAACTGACCTATCGCTCTGTCTATCTTTGATTGATCTAGTAGCCTGAGCCATTGGCTGAAAGCAAGAAAAGAAAGAAGAGAAAACCAGAGGTTATAAATGAGGCTTTTTAAAAATGGTAATGTGGCAATGTGACTATTTATTTATTTTTCATTAGCCTTGCACAATTCCGAGTCAAAAAATTACCCAAAAAATGGCTCTCTAGCAGGTCCTGCCACTATGATACGTTGATTCCTATTTCATGAAGGACTTTTTAAAAATTGTTTCTTGTGAACTCAGTTGGTGGAGTACTTAACAGAACAAGATAACCAGAGGAAGCTATGCTGGCTGACAGGAACTTGAACCTGTTATTCTGCTCTCCATGTTGTAGAAGAACACAAAAATAATCCAGGCCAAACAAGGGGGGGAAATAGAACGAGGGAGCCCTCTGCACACCCACTTCACTTCCTGAAGGGAGAATAGAAATCTAATAAATTTTTCCTTTCTTACTTGATTTGGAGGTTCAACTACTGGTTCATCTCTGTCATAAAAACCAGAAAGCTTCATTCTTTGTTTCTCTGTAAGGAATAAATAATTTCAAAATGCATCATTAACAAAATAGAAGGAGATATTCTATAGAAAAGAAGAGATAGCGAAGTTAAGATAGATAGGAAATCGGAGGATCTTCCATTACCTCCTGAGATGTCCTGACTTGGATCTTCCCAAGGGATCCTCCTGAAAAATAGCTCCTGAGGGGGATTTGATGGGTTCTTCTTTCCCTCAGGATCTCTGATCTCCACAGTGCAGCACTTCCAGTAGGAGGAAGGAAGAAGCAGAATTAATGTACATCACACGACGTAAAGTGGATTCCTATATTCAGAACGCCACTTCAAAGCCCCCAATATCCATCTGTCAGGTTGAGTGAGAAAACAAGGGAACAATTACCACATATGATGAATGCCAGAGAAGTTTGGAAAGGAGGGTGAAGTATTCAAACACTTTCTCTATTCCCTTCTGAGCTCCCTAAAGTCTCTCACCTGCAACTGGACCTGCTCCTTCTGCTCCTCCACCTGGCTTAGGAGGAGGCCTTCCGCCAGGGCCACCGCCTGGAAGCTGGTCTCTGCTCCACACTCCCCGCACCCAGCCCTCCATCTCTGGGGGCAGAAGGAACAGGAGATGCTCCAGAACCACCAGGTCCAGCATCTGGGCTTTGGTGTTCTTCTCTGGTCTCAGCCATCGCCTGCAAAAGCCATGGACTCGGCTGCAAAGTCCTCGGGGACCCTCAGCCTCCCGGTATTGGATGGAGGTCCAGGGCGGAACTTGTGAAGGGAGGATGGTTTCCTCCTCCAGGATCTTCTGCCCAGTTCTTGTCCACAGCTTCGCCCCCTTCCCAGGCTGAGCAGCTGAAGGGCCTTTTCCGGCTCCCTCCTTTGCAAAAGGTTGTGTCTCCATCCTTTCTCTGTCCTGCAGAGCAACTCCAAATGGCTCCAAGGACTCTGGTGGGTCTCCAGATGCCTTTTCCTTCACGGGAACATTTCTGGTGCTGCAGGACTGATCCCTGCAAGGGATTCCGCTCTTTTTCTTCTTCCCCCAAGAGGAAAGTTTGCCTTGCAAAGACCACAAATGGCTTCCAGTTTCTGTATCTGAGATGAGAAGAAAAAGAAACGCCAAGAATTAGAAAGTGGAATTCAGCCACTGAGCGACCTTCCCCCAACCTCCCCAGAGCCCCAAGCGGTTCATCCCACCGCAGGCCCAGGTCCCATCAAGCAGGGCCGGGAAGGAGGCAGCTGGAGAGGCCGCCCCGCTTATCTCCCCCCACTCGGGCTCTTCCACGGATCCCCACCACCTTCCCGGCATCCCTGCTTCCCCCTGCACGGAGAGGGCGGTTGGGGAGCATGGGACCCGGGAAGAGCCCCCCCCTCACCAGAGGCACCTCTGTATGTCCCCCCGCCAGACTCTCCCGCAGCCTCTCCGCCTCCTCCAGGGTTAAGGAGAGCTAGTGCGGCGTCCTAGAGAGGCAAGGCTCCAAGTGGACCAATGGGGAAGCGCCTGGAGTTCCCTTCCCTTGGTGGAGGCGCCCCCTGGTGGATTCGGGGCAAAGTGCCTGGATGGTAGAGGAGAGCGTCTGAGGGGAAGGGAGAGGGAGGGGAGGATAGGCTTGGGAGTAGGAGGAAATGCCCCTCCCAATGGCTCCCTGTCAAAGGCTTTGACCTTCTTTTCCCCCTTTTATATCAACCCAAATGCATTGAAGGAAGTTTTCGCCTTTCTTCTGTTGCGTTTGCAGAGTGGTTTGGTTATTTCTTCTATATAGTGCAACTCCACCTCCATCTCTCTCATTCGGCCTGCTCCTTATTTATAGAAGAGAATAGAATAAAGAATATAAAAGAAAAAAGAAAAGAAAAGAAAAGAAAAAAGCAATATTCTTTCTGGCAGCCCCTGAGTTATGGGAAGATGCCATCATGTCTCCCCTCGTCCTTCTGTTCATCAGACTAGAAAATATCCAGTTCCAGCAACTGTTTTTTAATATGTTTTAGCCTCCATCTTTGTTGCTCTTCACTACACTCTTTCTAGAGTCTCCATCCAGAGTTTGCTCCTGGCAGAGGTGGAGGAACGGGGCTCTGGGGAAGGAGAAGGAGCCTCACCTGAGCAGGAGGATCAGGCCCAACTTCCCCCAGGAGGGTCCATTCAGGTTTCCCCCACAGGGAGGGTCTCTCCCCCTTCACAGGGCAGAATGGGGTCCCCAGATCAGGAGAGGAGGGAGGGGAGGGACTTACCCCACTGGACGGTGATGGGGGCCTCCATCTGGCCCCTCCCAATCTCAAAAGTCAAAGAAAAAAAGGCTTCCTCCCCCCAATTCAGAGCCCCGATTCCTCCTCTGGGGCTGAAGCATCTGGCCAGGACACCCCTCCCCCTCCAACCCCCCCCCCCCCGTTGCTTTCACAGATGAAGATTTCTGCCGTGGGAAGAGTTTCTGCGCTGGCTGAGAAGAGGGGAGGGGCAGCCCCGCAGCCAGGGAAGACTTGGGGGTGACGGGACAGGCACCCCATATCTGGAGGGAAGCCACGGGAAACCCTCAGCTAAGCCAGGAAGAGGCGGAGGAGATCGTCAGGGATCCCACCTAGCCCAGCCTCCCCTCCCCCTTCCTGCGGGAATCCTCCGCTCGGCTCTCTCGGGAAAGGCGCCGCTTCGCTTTACGGGAGAAAAAGGCGATTTCCCTCCTTGAAACCCGCGTCCCTCTTGCTCGGAAGACATTTTCCCCGTCTAAAAGGGCAGATCTGGAGCTTTTCCCAGGAATCTGCCTATTTCGGCTGTGGAAGAGGAAGCGCAAAGAGCCCATTAATTTACCACTGATAAATCCGGAAGGAAAACCACTGAGAAAAACTTGAAAGGATCACGTACCTCGGTTTTCTTTTAAAAGTGGAGGAGGAGGAGGAGGAGGGGAGAAGGAGGAGGGGGTGAAGGAGGAGGAGAAGTGGAGGAGGAGAAGGAGGAGGTGAAGGACCAGGAGGAGGGGAGGAGGAGGAGGAGAAGGAGGAGTGGAGGAGGAGAAGGAGAAGGAGGAGGAGGAGGTGAAGGACGAGGAGAAGGAGGAGTGGAGGAGGGGGAGAAGGAAGTGAAGGAGGAGGTGAAGGAGGAGGAGGAGGAGGAGGAGGGGGAGGAGGGGAGGAGAGGAGTGAAGGAGGAGGTGGAAGAGAGGAGGAGGAGGAGTGAGGGGGAGGAGAAGGAGGAGGAGGAGAGGAGGAGAGGAGAAGGAGGAGTGAAGGAGGAGGGGGAGGAGAAGGAGGGGGAGAAGGAAGTGAGGAGGAGAAGGAGGAGAAGGTGAGAAGGAAGTGAAGAGAGGAGAAGGAGGGAGAGTAAGGAAGTGAAGGAGGATGGAGGAGGAGGAGGGGGAGAAGGAGGACGGTGAAGGAGAGGAGGAGTGGAGGAGGAGGAGAAGGAGGAGAAGAAAGGAGAGTAGAGGAGGTGAAGGAGAGAAGGATGAGGAGAAGGAAGAGGAGGAGGAAGAGAGAGAAGGAAGGAGAGGAGGAGAGAGGAGGAGAGAGGAAGGAGGAGGAGGAGAGGGGGAAGGAAGTGAAGGAGGAGGAGGGGGAGGAGGGGGAGAAGGAAGTGAAGGAAGGGGAGAGGAGGAGGAAGAAAAGGAGGAGGAGGAGACTGGACCTGATTTTTCTTCCGACACTCTCGGGGGATAAAAATAAAAACCCCGACTGGAAGTACCAACCAAAGAGGCTTAACGTGGAGGAAATAGGCAGCTGCTGTCCAAAGGAAGAGGGAGACACGGACACAAAGTTTTACTTTTGCTTCCCTATAAAGGTATTTAAGATTCGCAGCAGAGAAGACAGTCAGGAAGATCCTGAGGTAAATCTTAAACGGCGCCCAGAAGGAAAAGGCGGGAAAATGGGAAACGCCCCCTTTCCACCGCAGCGACCAATCAGAGCGCAGATCCCCACAGGCGGGAGCCCTCCCTCCCTCAGCCATGCCAACAGGGTCTTCAGGACCATTCTGCCCTTTCCTTCTTCAGCCGTTAAATTGGGCATTTTCACATTTAAAGTGTTCAAAGGAAAGAGAGATAAAATGACTTTGCTTTTGTGTATTAGATTGAATTGTCAGGCTGGAATGACTTTTTAAAAAAAATCTTGCACTGTGCTAAAAAGAAGGCAACTCTTTTTCCTCCCTTTTTTCTCTTGTACCTTTCTTTTCCTGTCTTTCTCCTTTTCCTGATTTCCTATTTCTATTTTTCTTTGTGTTTTGTATAATAAATAAATAAATAAATAAGATCTGGAGACTCTAGAAAGAGTGCAGAGAAGAGCAACAAAGGGAGGCTAAAACATAAAAAAACGGTTGCTGGAACTGGGTATTTTCTAGTCTGATGAAAAGGAGGAGGAGGGCAGACATGATGGCATCCTCTCCTCTCCTCTCCTCTCCTCTCTTCTCTTCTGTAAATAAGAAACAGAGAGAATGAAAGAGGTGGAGTTGTAGTTTCACTATATAGAAGAAATAACCAAACAGGTCTAGAAACGCAACAGAAGAAAGGCGAAAACTTCCTTCAATGCATTTGGGTTGATATAAAAGAGGAAAAAGTCTTTGTCTGACATGGAGCCATTGGGAGGGGCCTTTCCTCCTACTCCCAAACCCATCCTCCCCGCCCTCTCCTTTCCCCCACCAAGGCGCTCCTCTTTCCAGCCCTTTCTATAATCCTGGCGCTTCGCCCCAAATCCACCAGGGGGCGCCCTCTGCCAACGGAAGGGAACTCCAGGCGCTTCCCCATTGGTCCACTGGAGGGCTAACATCACGGTTGCCTTTGTACAGGAGGTGTGAAGGAATTGACACCAGAAACCCTTGCCTCTCTAGGACGCAGCACTCGTTCTTCTTAACCCTTGGGGCCCCGCAGGTGGCAGAGAGGTGCGGGAGAGTCTGGCGGGGGACATCCAGAGGTTCCCCGGGTGAGGGGGGGGTGTCCTTCCCGGGTCCCATGCTCCCCAGCCGCCTTCTCCCTGCAGGGGAAGCGGAAGAAGTGGGATGCCGGGAAGGTGGGGGGCGGAGGGGGGGCCTCCGGGCAGGTTGGGGGAAGGTCGCCCAGTGGCTGAATTCCACTTTCTAATTCTTGGCGTTTCTTTTTCTTCCCATCTCAGATACAGAAACTGGAAGCCATTTGTGGTCTTTGCAAATTCTATTCTATTCTATTCTATTCTATTCTATTCTATTCTATTCTATCCACATATTCTATGCTATGCTATGCTATGCTATGCTATGCTATGCTATCCTATGCTATCCTATCCTATCCTATCCTATCCATTACCAGGTTCCCTTAGCAGTTCATCCTAGGATTTAGCTTCCAGATTCCTTATCATCCTTGTTGCTTTTCTCTGCACTCTTTCTAGAGCTTCTGCATTTATTTATTTATTTTGTTTGTATCATGGTGAGCAGGACTGGACACAGCATAAGTAATCCTCAACTTACGATCACAACAGAGCCCAACATTTCTGTGGCTAAGCAAGGCAGACGTTGTGAATTTTGCCCCATTTTACAACATTTCTTGACCCAGTTGTTAAGCGAATCGCTGCAGTTCTTATGTTAGTAACACCGTTGTTAAGTGAATCTGGATTCCCCATGGACTTTGCCTGACAGGAGGCTGCCAAAGACGATTACGTGACCCCAGGAAGCTGCCACCGTCATAAATATGAGTCAGTTGCCAAGCACCTGAATTTTGATCCCGTGACCGTGGAGATGTTGCAAATGGTCGTAAGTGTGAAAAATGGACTTCAGTCACTTTTTTTCAATGCGGTCACTAAACGAACTGTTGTAAGTCAAGGCCTAACTGTATTCCCATTGCGGCTTCACTAGCGCAGTATAAAAAGTTTGGCTTTTTTTGGCAGCTGCAGCCAAACTGTGTGGTTAATTCCCAATTTTTTATTTTTTTTTCCGCCTTTCTTTGGGTCAAAAAACCCTGAGATTCCACCATTTCCACAACTGGCATTTTGCACTTCAGAGATTTAATTTGATACAGCAAATAAATTGATTAGGCCCTGCCTCATTTATCTCTATTTTCATCCCTTTCCAAGCCTGTCAGCCCTACCGTGGTTTTGATAATGTCACGTCCTCCGTTCCCCCTTTCTATCCGTTGTTTTCAGATCCGGCCTCTGATTTCAAGCAATTCCCTCCTTTCCATTTTCTGTGGTAAATGTACCAAATTGCCCTTCTTCTTCTTCTTTTTTTTTCCTCCCTAGCCTCTATATCTAATTTGATCTAGATAATAAGAGTTTCCCCTTTAATCACTGCCTGCTTCGCACAGATTGGGAACAAAAACGAGATGTAGTCACATCCATATTATTGTGATCCTGTGCATCATTTGATACACGGTGAATACGATCTCTTTTCAGGATTTCGGTATGGTTCGCTTCAAGGCAGCCTTTGATCTATTTCTCTCCACACACACACACACCCAAAAAAAATGCTTTTAGGAGAAGATAAATTCATCTTATTACAGAAAAAGGACACAAGCTTTGTTTGGAATAGAACACCACACTTTTCAGTCGCCTTAAAAACTCAGCTGATAGTTTGCTGACAGGGTACGGGTGGTATTTAATAGAGGCAGTGGTGAAATCCATTTTTTTTTACTACTAGTTATGTGGGCGTGGCTTGGTGGGCGTGGCAGGGGAAGGCTACTGCAAAATCTCCATTCCCACCCCACTCTAGGGGAAGGATACTGCAAAATCCCCATTCCCTCCCCACTCCTGGGGGAAGGCTACTGAAAATCACCCCATTCCCTCCCCACTCCTGGGGGAAGGATACTGCAAAAATGTCCATTTCCCACCCCCGCTCTAGGGGAAGGATACTGCAAAATCCCCATTCTCCCTCTCCACTCCTGGGGGAAGGCTACTGCAAATCTCCATTCCCTCCCCACTCCTGAGGGAGGGATACTGCAAAATCCCCATTCCCTCCCCACTCCTGGGGGAAGGATATTGCCAGCCAGAGGTGGTATTTGCCGGTTTCTTCGAACTGCTCAAAATTTCCGCTACTGGTTCTGTCAGAACCTGCTGGATTTCACCCCAGAATAGAGGGGCAAATAAAAGAAATAAGAAGAAACTTTCCATCAGTATTCAGGCTAGTTTTCTCAATTCTAAGTATATTTTATTGGGAGGGAGGGAGGGAGGAGGGAGGGAGGGAGGAAGGAAGGAAGGAAGGAAGGAAGGAAGGAAGGAAGGAAGGAAGGAAGGAAGGAATTAAGAAGAAGGGAGGGAGGGAGGAAGAGGAAGGAACGAAGAGAGGGAGGGAGAGAGGGAGAGAGGAAAAGGAAGAAAAGAAGAGAGGGAAAGAGGGAAGGAAGAAGAAAAGGGAGGGAGGGCGGAATTAAAAAGGAGGGAGGGAGGAAAGAAAAGAGGGAAGGAGAGAAGGAAGGAGAAAAAAGAGAGGGAGGAAGAAAGGAAAGAAGGGAGGGAGGGAAAAGGAAGGACAAAAAGGGAGGAAGGAAGGAATTAAGAAGGAAAGAAGGGAGGGAGAGAGGAAAAGGAAGGAAAGAAGAGCGGGAAAGAGGGAAGGAAGGAAAAAAGGGAGGGAGGGAGGGAGGAATTAAAAAAAGGAGGGAGAGAGGAAAAAAGAGGGAAGGATAGAAGGAAAGGAGAAAAAGGGAGGGAGGGAGGAAGGGAGGGAGGGGAGAGGGAGGTTGTTGTATTGACTTAATTCACACAATATCCTAAGCATGGGTAATGTTAACCTTGGCTCACTTTTTTCCACGGTTGACACACAGTGTAAACCCAGAAAATGTTAATTTAGTTACCACATTGCATGTTAAATAAATGTAGCCTTTCTATCACTCTCTTCTCTTTGCGTCCCCTGTTGGATGATCAACAACAAATTTCTTTCCCAGGGCCTCAGCTTGCCAAAACCTAATTACTTTCCGAAGGATTTTGAGACTCGCCCAGGGTCATAAGTAAAAGTTTGTCCGTCCAAAAGGTTAAATTCTTGACTTCATCCCCTGCTGGAATGGAGTCCAGCTCTGCATTCTGTATTGAAAATCCCCCCATCTTTGTTGAAGGCTACTGCAAAATCCCCATTCCCTCCCCACTCCTGGGGGAAGGATATTGAAAAATCCCCATTCCCTCCCCACTCCTGGGGGAAGGCTACTGCAAAATCTCCATTCCCACCCCACTCTAGGGAAAGAATACTGCAAAATCCCCATTCCCTCCCCACTCCTGGGGGAAGGATATTGCCAGCCAGAGGTGGTATATGCCGGTTCTTCGAACTGCTCAAAATTTCTGCTACTGGTTCTGTCAGAACCTGCTGGATTTCACCCCTGAATAGAGGGGCAAAAAAAATAAAAAATAAAAAATAAGAAGAAACTTTCCATCAGTATTCAGGTTAGTTTTCTTCAATTCTAAGTATATTTTATTGGGAGGGAGGGAGGGAGGGAGGGAGGGAGGGAGGGAGGGAGGAAGGAAGGAAGGAAGGAAGGAAGGAATTAAGAAGAAGGGAGGGAGGGAGAAAGAGGAAGGAACGAAGAGAGGGAGGGAGAGAGGGAGAGAGGAAAAGGAAGAAAAGAAGAGAGGGAAAGAGGGAAGGAAGAAGAAAAGGGAGGGAGGGAGGAATTAAAAAGGAGGGAGGGAGGAAAGAAAAGAGGGAAGGAGAGAAGGAAGGAGAAAAAGAGAGGGAGGAAGAAAGGAAAGAAGGGAGGGAGGGAAAAGGAAGGACAAAAAGGGAGGAAGGAAGGAATTAAGAAGGAAAGAAGGGAGGGAGGGAGAGAGGAAAAGGAAGGAAAGAAGAGCGGGAAAGAGGGAAGGAAGGAAAAAAGGGAGGGAGGGAGGGAGGGAGGAATTAAAAAAGGAGGGAGAGAGGAAAAAAGAGGGAAGGATAGAAGGAAGGAGAAAAAGGGAGGGAGGGAGGAAGGGAGGGAGGGGAGAGGGAGGTTGTTGTATTGACTTAATTCACACAATATCCTAAGCATGGGTAATGTTAACCTTGGCTCACTTTTTTCCACGGTTGACACACAGTGTAAACCCAGAAAATGTTAATTTAGTTACCACACTGCATGTTAAATAAATGTAGTCTTTCTATCACTCTCTTCTCTTTGCGTCCCCTGTTGGATGAGCAACAACAAATTTCTTTCCAGGGCCTCAGCTTGCCAAAACCTAATTACTTTCCGAAGGATTTTGAGACTCGCCCAGGGGTCATAAGTAAAAGTTTGTCCGTCCAAAAGGTTAAATTCTTGACTTCATCCCCTGCTGGAATGGAGCCCAGCTCTGCATTCTGTATTGAAAATCCCTCCATCTTTGTTTCTCCCTTTCCATTTACAATGCTCTTTTTTTTTTCTTTTTAGAAAAAAAAATTTACATTCGAAAAAGCAGATTTTGGAATTCCCTGGTTTGGAGCATAAAATGCAAATTCTCTTTCAGACTTGCAAATGTTATAAGTTAGAGCAAAGACCTATTTCAAGGTGTTTCTCTGGAAGTCACCTGGCTGTGGTCTCTAGCAATGGAGGGCAGAATTCATGATGGCCTTCCAAAAATTGCCAATAACTTTACTTTACTTTACTTTTTACTTTTATTTAATTTGTATACCGCCCTTCTCCCGAAGGACTCAGGGCGGTGAACAGCCGACAATAAAATACATACATACAAAATTTAAAAAACAGAACTAAAATCGAATTAAATAATTTGACCCAGACAGATTAAAACCCCAATCAATTTAAAACAGATTTAAACTTTGAGGATTAAAAATATTAAAATATTAAAATTGTTGAAAAATTGTTTAAAAAGAGGAAGAAAGTTAGGCCAGGCCCGCCTGGTGAAATAAAAAGGTCTTTAGAACACAGCGGAAGGTGCGCAGATCCGGGATCCTCCGTATCTCCGGGGGGAGCTCGTTCCAGATAGTAGGTGCCCCCACAGAGAAGGCCCTCCCCCTGGGGGCTGCCAGTTGACATTGTTTGGCCAACAGCACCCGGAGGAGCCCCTCTCTATGGGAGCGTACTGGCCGGTGGGAGGCTATTGGTGGTAATAGGCGGTCCCGCAAGTACCCAGGTCCTGAACTTTAGAATAATGCAACCCTTATTAAGCACTGTGTTAAATTAACTCTCTGTTTTGGTCCTTCGTACAGCCAGCCAGGATTTCAGATTGGATTTGGCATTTTTTAATTTACCTATCCTTTCCCAAGGACCTGGGATAGGTAGATATG